TCTCTCAGGGAGGCAGATGTGTAAACGACAAATTATCAGACAAAGCCATATCAGAAGGATTCTATTATGGAAATAACACACGACATGTGTTGTGGGAGCACAGAGGATGGAAACTCACACTTTTTGAACCTACTGTGTGCTAGGCACTGGGGAAGGCTCCCTGGAGGAGTGGGCATGGAGCTAGAGCCTGGGGCAGGGGCCGCTGACAGAGAGCAATGGCTGAACAAGGGTGTGGAGGTGGGAAGCTGCTTGGCGTGCTCTGGCAGCCAGGCATGCACAAGCACTGAGGGGTGGAGCCAGCCAGAGGACAAGGAGCCCGGGACGGGGTTAGGATCATGCTAAGAGCGTGGGCTGAAGTTAGCAGGCGATGGGGCCAGTGCAGACTTCGAGGAGTGTGCCTGCTGCTCCGCAATGTTCCACCAAGCAGACAGGAGCCCCTGGCAACCCTGCAGCGGCCTTCTCTTCCTGGCCCCCCGCAGTTAGCAGATGTCCGCTCTGCGTGCTTCGCTAACGCGGGCTCCGCGCAGCCCAGCTCCCGCGGGATAAGGCGCTGAGCGCGGGGCTGGGCGCGTGCGCGAGGGCACCTTGCAGGGAGGCATGTGAGAGAAGGAGACAGAGTACAGGGACGGAGGGGTTAGCACAGGTTCTAGGGTCTTGGGAGAGTTCTGTTGGGAGAAGTGGGCGGGGAACTGAGGGCAACTGTCGAGGATGGAGAAGAGTGGACCGGGCAGAGGTGCCAAGGCTCAGCCCAGCGGCCTGAGCTCAGAGCCACCCTCTGAGAGGGGCCCTGGGCTGATGGAGGGCCAGAGTCCTCTCCCTCTTCACAAGGCCAGCCCGTCTCCTCCTGTTCAAGGCTTCACCTTGCCTCCTCCTCCACTACATGACAACAGCCTCATCCCCAGCCTTGGAGCTCAGGGCTGGACTGGTACGTGGGGTCTAGGGTTTGGAGGGGGACAAGACCTCAGGGTTTTCTTGACCTTCTGGCAGAGCAGCCCAAAGCGCCCGGAACTCTCCCAGGTTGAGAATCACCTCTTGGGCAAAAGACCTCTGGCGCCCCCTACTGGCAGCTCTGCGCGAACAGTCCGGATCCCTCCTCTGCAGCCCACCCCCGCCCACAGGGCCTGAACACGTCTGGGGCCCTTTCAGCGGGGGCTGGGAGGTGGTGCAGAGCCCAGCCAGGAAGAGGTCTGCGTTGAGATATTTACCGAGATTCCAGCAGCTCCCTAACCGGTCTCCCTCTCTCCCTTCTCCACCCACAGCCAAGAGAATCTATTTCAAAGCGTGTCTATGGAATACAACTCAGCAATAGCAAGTAACGACTGTTAATACCCACAACGACTTGAATGGATCTTAAGGGCATTATGCTGAGTGCAAAAAGCGGATCTCAAAAGGTTACATACTTTATGATTCCATCCATATAACATTCTCAAAATGACACAATTGCATAGATGGAGAAGAGACAAGGCTGCCAGGGTAGGGAAGGGGAGGGAGAGTGTGGCCATAAAGGGGCAGCAAAAAGGGATTTCTTTAAGGTGGTGGAACAATTCTGAATCTTGATTGTGCTGGTGGTTATATGAATCAGTACAGGTGATAAAATGTCATGGAATTATACACAAAGACATACAAAAAAGGAGTGCATGCCGGAAATGGTGAAATCCCGTAAGGTCTGCAGTCTAGTTAGCTGTCTGGTGTCCACTTCCCTGGTTTTCATAATGCACTACAGCTGTGTAAGTTGTCACCACTGGCGGAAGTTGGTGATGGACACGTGGGACCTCTCTGGACTATTTATGTGACTTCTTGTGCGTCAATAATTCTTTCAAAATAAAAAGTTTATGAAAAGAAAAAAGCATACCTGGCCGTATCATCCACCTGCTCACCTCTACCTAGCGGCTCCCAGTGGGCCGTGGAGGATGAAGTGCCTGAAAGAAATTCTGTCAACTTAATGAACGGCGCCCTCTAAGGCTGGCGAGGGAAGGCTGTCTCATCTTGGAGGGCACAAGGGGCTCACCTCACAGCCTGGATTCTGCCTGGCAGGTTACCTCACTCGTTAATCCTGTTGGGTCCCCTCCTCTACTGGCCTGAGGGGGGCGCTCTTCCACCTCTGATGCTTGGCCCCCAACCGGACACAGTGCCCTTCCCTTCGCACTGCAGGGACTCCAGCTGAAGTCTTGAAAAAAGACTGCCCTGGAGCCTGGGAAACAAAAGGCTAACAGCCCAGTGTGCTGGCCGCCCACCAGGCATTCCAGCTGCACCCTGAGGGCTCCTCCAGGACACTTCTGCCTCTGGCTCCCTCTGGCCCTGTGGAGGCTGTCTCACCCAGGACCCAGGACTGTCCTTGGGCCTGAGGAATGAGGGATAGTGTGACTTCTCAAATGTTCCCGCACCAGGTGCTGGGCCACGCGTGTTGCACACGTCTCATTTATAATCGTAGGGAGGCTCTGAGGTGAGAGTGGCAAAGTGCTAGCTTTACAGATGAGCATGCCCAGGGGAGCCACTTGGCCAGGGCCGCTTGATAGCAAATGGCAGGGCTGGGGTTTGAACTCTGGATGTCTGCCTTTCCATGTATTGGCTCATCAACAAGTATTTACTGAACAGCCGTTATATGCCAGGCACTATGCTAGGTGCTGGGCATACAAAGGTGAGCAACAACAGAGTCCCCACTCTCCCAGGGCTCGTGGGGGGCAGACAGCAATAAATAATCATGGTATACGGTTGTAAAATGACAAGGTGACATAAGAGAAGCGTATGGGTCTCTGATGGTATGTAATAAAGAAAGCTGACCTAGCTGGGTATTCAGAGGAGCTGCGTGAGGAAAAGTTGCTTGAACAGAATGTTAAAAGGTGACTAAGCAAAGGGAAAAGAGAACTGCAGGGAGGGCACCGCACATGTGAAGGTACTGGGGCAGGTGGGAACACGAAACATTTGTGAAACCAATGGGGGGGTCAGTGTAGCTGCAGTGCAGGAACCAGGAGAGCAAGGAAGGCACAAGGCCCAGCAAGTGTTTACTGTAGCCAGCCTGTTCTCAGAACCTCGAAAGTATTATCTCACATAATCTTCACAACCACCCTATGAGGCTGGTGCTGCTATCAGCATCCCCGTTTTCCAGACGAGGAACCCAGGACACAGAAGGATGAGTCAATGACCCAGAATCACCTAGCAGGGGTGCTCTGGAGCTGGAATTTGAATCCAGGCAGTCTGGCTGCAGAGCGCGGGCTCTGAACCCCTGAGCTGTGCTGCTTCAGAGAGGAGGCTGAGGGGTGGGCAGGGCCAAAAGGGGCAGGGCACTGGAGGCCGTGTTAAAGCTTGTGGTCTTTTCCTAAGGTGAGAGGGAAGATTTTTAAGTAGGGCAATAATATAATCAGGTTTGTGTTTTAAAATGGAGATGGATGGAGGGGGTGCAGAGAGACTGTGGGAAGGGGAGGGGCTGAGAGGCTGCTGCAGTGGTCCAGGCAGGAGACGTCAGCCCCGTAGGCTGAGTGGGGCCCTGGTGATGGAGAGAAGTGGGTGGATCAGAGAGGTAGACCTGCCAAGACTTGGATATAGATTGAGGGTGGAGGGTGGAGACAGATGGGGAGATGGAGGGAGAAGGCCATACTCCCGGGTTTCTGGCTTGCCCACTGCGGGGATGATGAGTTATTGCCTGAGACAGGTAAACCCCTGGAGGGGGCCAAGTTTGGGGAAGACCATGAATCTAACTTAGGGACTGCTGCAGGCAGATCTCAGATTGTCAGGGGACATGTGGCCTGGAGCTCCAAGGAGCAGTCAGGCCCGGTGCTATTGATGCTGTGGGTGTGGACAGTATGATCCAGGATGGGGCACAGAGGGAGGGGAGGGGCTGGCCCCCAGGACTCTGGCCTTTCCAGCTGGGCAGAAGAGAATGAGGTGTTGTGGCCAGAGTGGGAGGACAACCAGGAGACCGTGGTGATGTGCAAGCCAAGAGGAAGAGAATGTTTCCAGGGAGGGAACGTCAGCGGAGGACAGGATGCTCTCAAGAGGACAAATGATATTAGGACCCCAAAACTTCCCGTAGTTGTTGATATGGGATCACTGGTGAGTTTAGGGGGGAAATTCAGGGGTGAGATGGCGTGTGGGGGTCGAGGAGTGAGAAGGGCAGCAAAGGGCCAGAGGAAGGAGCTCGCTGGATGTCGCAGTGGTGCCCTGGGCACCATTCAGACCTCCCTCCTTCCAGGACTGAAGCGTGAATTTCCCAGCTGCAGAAGGGTCGGCAGCTGACAGCTCTCATCAGAGCCTCCCTCCAGGACACGCTCCCCCCACCCCCACCCCTGGGCTGAAGAGAGCCTCTTTGCCTGAATTCTTCTGCACCCCGGCCACCCGCCCAAGGCGGCCCTCATCCAGTGGATGACGTGTAGACAGGCCTCATCTGGTGGATAAGGCAGTTTAAAGGCCTGGTCCCCTATCCACAATGTGGGACAGCGCTGAGGCCCTCCCAGCCCAGAGTTTCCCGTGGGCTCGGCTGAGGCCTGGGATGGGCCAGCATCGCCCTTTCTCACTCGGCCCAGTCCTGTGGCCCCCGTCCCCCTCAGGTGTGGGTCCTGAGAGCAGCCCCTGAAAACTTCCTACTCGCTTTGCACCATTTCCTGAGGAATTCGACCCGAGAGAGCAGTCAGATGAGTAAGAGAGACAAGCAGCCAGTGATGGTGGATACTTCCCAAAACAAGAGGAGATTAGCTGTACCCTGGAAAGATGTCTGCTCTTCCCTTTAGACCATGCTCCTGATATGCGGGACCCCAGAATTCCCTCCCTGAACAGCCCCAGGCCCATTCCCTCAAGTGGACCTGGTGGTGTGGCCAAGGGGCAGCAGCGGGTCTGGCGGCTTGGGCTTGTGGACCAGAGCATCCGCGTGTGTGCACATGACCCTCCCCTCGGGGCAGGATGGCTGGGGTGGGGAGATACCGGGGGCCAGCTTGGTCAGCTCTTCCCACGCCATCACATTTGGGCATGGAATACAAGAGTCAAAGAAGGTTACAGTGGAACCTGGCCTCCAGGTCAGTGTGAAGGTTTATTTACCAAGGTAGGAGAATAGAACGTATTTCATTGAACATTGTTAGCTCGATCTATAACTTTACAACACTTCGACACACGGTATGAGGCCTCCACTGTACTCTTCCCCAGCCCCGCCGGCACTAGGGGTGGGCTTGGCTCAGCCTCATATGCGGACCACGCGCTCCACCAGGGAGGGTGCACACTACCCCCGCCCTGGGGCACAGTGCCTGGCACAGAAGAGCAGATAATAAATATTGGCTGTGAGAAACACAGGAGACAGTCCAAGTTAGATGCTTGGCACAGTGCAATAAATATTAGCTATTATTGCTCGTGGAATAAATGATGGGTGGGTGGGGCACGGGGCTGAGACCCATAAACCGAGGTGGTTTGTGTACAAGGAGGGAAGGGGGGCTGCCGGCCCCAGGGTTCACACTTCCTTTCCTGAGGTTGTGCCCCCCTCCCCCCACCCTGCAGGCCTCTCCCAGCTCTTCATGGCAAGGCGGGCACGGGTGGGCATACTCAGCCAGGGCACTGGGAGGGGCTGGGGGCTCCTGCCAGCGCCCCCTCAACCCTGGGGGCAAGAATAACAGCAGGTTTCCTGGCCCTTGCTTTCAGGGACCTCCCAAGGCCCACACAGAACCCATCCAGCTTAGTTCCTTTTGCTGTACCCATAAGCCCATGCTGGGTCGGGGGCTAGCTCACAGGGTGGATTTCTCCCTTATCGGAGACCATGCTCTGGTGTGAGAGGAGCCTGGGCCAGGAGTCAGATCCCCCGCTGGCCCCTGAACAAGTCACTTGGCCTCTGTAAGCCTGTTTCCTCATCTGTAAAATGGGACTGTGTGTGGAAACGGTGCATGTCAAGTGGCAGGAGCAGGGTACACGCTGTCCAAGAGGAAGAACCCTCACACACAACACAAGTGGATCAGGGAGCGCAGAGGCCGGGAACCCCAGACAGCAAAGCAGACGAAAATGGTCCACCACGAGCCAGTGAGAGAGCCGGGCAGGAGCATCATCCCTGAGGCCCGGGGAAAGGCAGGCAGCCGCCCACGCCGGAGGCCGGGTCAGTCCTGTTTCGGCAGCAGGCAAGTTGTCGGTGGCCGCTTCATGACCCGAACGGTGCCACGCACAGGGCTGGGGCCCTAAGGGGCTCCGTGCAGGCCTCGACGGGGTCCGGGCCAGAAGAGGCTAGGAAGCCCCTCACCCAAATTCCTCCCAGCCCGGGCGGTCCCAGAAAACCATCCTCACTGCCCCCACATTCTCACACACGCACAGTAGGTGGCGCTGTAATAAAGAACAGAACCCAATTAACCTCTAGCAGAACAGGCCAGGGGAAAAAAAATCACATTTTGCGAACTTCCCACCAGGGGTCACCATCCTGCACCGAGGGGTGCAGAATTCACACCCGCCTGCGGGCCGGTAGCAGGCGGAGCGGCTCCGAGATAGAGTCCGGCCACGTGGCCTCCAGCCGCCCAGCTTCTGTGGCCGGACCACCGTCACTCCCAGTCGCAGGGCCGCAGTGCTAGCAGCGGGGGCAGGGTGGAGGCCCGCGGTCAGTGAGGCCGGAAGATGTCTGAGCACTGCTGCAGGATGAGCTCCACCACCTGGTTCTGGAACACCATGGTCATGGGCATGCTGGTTTCCTCCTTCTCGGGCCGCAGGAGCGTGGGCCCGAACACTATGGCCACGCTCTGCACTGACATGCGGTTCTGTTCGCCGTGCTCGATCACCCTGCGGCGGGGTGCGGGTGGCGTGAAGTCAGGGCCCAGAGCCGGGGTAGTGGGGAAACATAGGGGGTCCCGCCTCCCCATCCCCGCCGGCTCGCCCGCTCACCTGCACAGGTGCTGGAAGAGCAGGCGCAGCGTATCGTGGTTGGGGGCAGGCAGCGAGCGCACCAGGTCCCGCACGCAGCGGCTTCGCTGGGCCTGGTCCTGCAGCTCTGGGGAAGGGAAGGGTCAGACAGAGCAAGAGGGAGGGTCAGCTCAGCGAGGGGAACGCAGGGGACTGACTCCCAGCATGTGGGGGGTTCCTGGCCAAGGACGTGCACGAGGCAGGCCAGCTCCACCCCGACCCCCTCCGCCCCACCGCCCCTGGCGCTCACTGATGGCCGCGATGAACTGGCGGAAGTGCGAGAAGGGGAAGAGGGGCTCGGGCAGCTCCCGAAAGAAGAGCTTCAGGGCGCCAGTGATAACGTGGACATCCTCCCAGCGCCCGTCGTCCAGGTCCAGGCGCTCATCTGCGGCAATGGGGAGAGCAGGGGGGAAAGGAGGTCAGTAGCCCCTCGCGCCTTCAGGCCCTGGGGCAGGCACCGGGACGGGCCTCACCGTGGTCCACCTTATAGCGCAGCTTCTGGATGGTGGCCAGGTTCCCACTGATGCGGTACAGCCCGTCGATGTCCAGCCCTGGAGCAGAGGGAGGCGCTTGACCCCGCGTTTGGTGGGATGGGGCTAAAGCCCCCTGCTATGATTCCTACTCAGGGGCTCCCATTCTGTCCGCCACAACCCTGGGCCCACCCAGGGGTCTCTGGCACGGGGCCCTGGGAGGAGGCCACGCGGCGCCCGAGCGCGGACACGTACCCCGGGCCTCGACGGCGCGGATGCACTGCTGCACGAAGCGCGGCACCGGGCTCCGCTCGCGCTCACACAGCGCGGCCAGCGCGCAGCCGAACACCTGGTCTGGGGGAGGGCGAGGGTCGTCAGCGCCGCCCGGCCGCCGCCCCCCCCCCCCGCCCGCGCCCGCGCGCCCCGCTACCTTTGATGTAGCCCTTCTCCCGCAGCGACTGCAGCGTGGGCCGCTTCAGGAGGAACTTGCGCAGCTTGTGCCGGACCTTGCTCAGGTCGCTCTCCAGGCCCCCGGGATACAGCGCGGGCGCGGCTGCCGCACGGGGATGCAGGGATGATCAGTCGGTGGCGCCGGAGGTGGCCCGGCAGGCCCCAGCCGGGTCATCACCATTCCCCAAAGATGCCCTCCATCCCCCCCCCCCCCCGCCTCCCACACCCCTACCCCGCACACACCTGCGCCCGGCCGCGCCTCGTCCTCCCGCCAGCTTCCCAGGCGCTCGCTGGACCCGAAGTCCACACTGCTGTTCTCATTTTCCTCCTCCGGGGGCAGGTCTGCGGACTAGAATCACACAGCCTCAGAGAGGCAGAGCCTAGGGCCAGGCGGGGGGCCTTTGGGGATGCGGTGAGAGACCGGAAGTGCCCTCCCAGCAGGCCTGGCGACCCCCAGGCAGAGTTCACTTTTCCCTTAAGCAGGTTAACTCGCCTCACCTCCACCAGGGAATCTCAGAACATTCACCTCCCTTCGCTGCATGGAGCCCTTCAGGTGTTAGAGACAGTCATCCTGTTCTCCCCAGCCTTTATCTTGGCGGCACCTACTCACCTTCCAGCTCCTGGCCCCCTTTCCCTATAATTTTCCTTACTACACACTCCACTACGTCAGCATTCCTCAATATGTGGCTCCCAGCTCAACCTTGCAGTTCCAACTGGGGCCAGAGCACTGCCAACGACTTCACTTCCCTGGATCTGGATTCCTACCTCTATTAATATAGCCAAACATGGCACCCAGTGTTGGCTCATAGGGAACTAAGGACCAAAAAGCCCCAAGCTGGGCCAGCAGTGGCAGTGGTTAAGTTTGCTCTCTCCATTTTGGCAGCCAGGGGTTCTGGTTTTAGATCCCAGACACGGACCTACACACTGCCCATCAAGCCTTGCTGTGGAGGCATTGCACATATAAAATAGAGGACGAATGGCATGGATGTTAGCTCAGGGCCAATCTTCCTCACCAAAAAAAAAAAAAAAAAAAAAAAGCCCTAAGTTGTTTACTTATGCAATTGATATTTGAACCTAAAAACCTTCAATTCAATCCTTTTAAATGATATCTTTTAGTGTCAGCCTGTCATGCCAACCTGAGGCTGTTTCTGAGAGTATTTACTTTTCCTGCTGCTTTCCTTGAAATGAGACACTCCTCTAGGATCTGCCCCTATCCCCACCTGAAGAGCCCTCCTGCAGGGCCAACCCCAGAGGCTGGATTCACATACTGAAGAAAGGCTGTTTTTTCAGCAGCCCATCTGCCATCCGGCCATAAGGGGGGGACTGCATCTGCTGGGAGTGGTACTCACCCACTGGTGCCATGGAGCTCCTGGGGCCTGAGTGGAGGGTCCCTCCCACCACAGTGGGCACAGCTGCCTTGCATAATGGTTTGCCATCCCCTCCCTCCCAGCCCTGGAGGCTCCAGGCTCTGCCTACCAGCTCCTGGATGGCCTGGGCGATGGCCTTGTGCCAGGTGCTGATGATGGCCTCTGAGTCGTGCTGGATCAGGTACTCTGAGCCATCTCGGCTCCGCAGCTGAAGAGACACAAGTCGCTGAGTCATCTCTGGTTCCCTGGGTTGGCCCCAGGGCTAGGCCCCAGGGGAGATACAGACAGGGAAGTGATCTGTTCCTGTCCCTGGGGACTCAGAGTCTAATGCAGAAACAGCCTCACTCAGGCCAAGGTATTCTGCCTCATTAAAAGCAGTAGGTGACAGCATGCCTGTGTTACAGATGGGCAAACTGAGGCTCAGCAGTTTATGCAACTCCCTTGTTGACACACAGCTAGTGAGTGATGGAACAAGGATCTGAGTGCAGCAGATCCACACGGCTCAACTGTCTGGTACACGTCCCCCTGCCCCATCCCGCCTCCCACGAGCCACAGAACATGGTGGGCCTCACCCAGAGCAGGGCCAGGAAAAAGGTCAACGAAAGAAACTCCCTGTGGGAGGCCTCTGGCTGCTGGACCGAACAGTGAAGAAAATGCTGGGAGAGAGGATCTGAAAGCAGATCATAGCTGATGCAGAGAAAGCAAGCGACTCCCTCCTCCATATGCATACTGAGGACCTAGGAGTGTCATCCCGCTTCTGCAGCCACGAGTCCCCGCCCTCTCCCACACTCCAGCCGGGCAATGCGTCCTCTTACAGCCAACTTCATCGGAAGCGTAAATGAAACAAAACTCCAGAGGGAAACTCTCCCACTTTCTGACTACTCAAAGCCTGGTCTGATGAACAGGCTGGAGGGTACCAACCCACCTTCTCTTATTCTCTCCAAGGAACTACGCACACGGTTTGGAGAGGTCTGTGAGCTGAGGAAGCACTGCCCGGTCAGTCTGCTGGATGCTCCATCCAGACCACAGGCCATACTCTTCTTTAAGAGGCCCCAAAGTCTGGGTTTCCAAACCCACTATTTATACTATTAAGGAGCAGGCAGATATCAATCGCCCAGGCGGTTCTTCGGACTGACAGCTGCTGAGTGTCCTTGTTCCCTGACAAAGGCTCCAAAGGACAGGGGGAGGCGGTCAGCAACTTGGACAGACTCAGCGCCCCGGCTCTGAGGACTGGGCGCTCAAGGTTGATGCGAGTGTTTGGTGCAGCAGCTGACAGCAGCCCTGCCGTTTGGGCCGGGTGAGTCAGTCAGTGGAAACTGTCTCAGACAACAGGGTGCAACTTCCAGAAGCAGCAAGGGCTGTCTCGTGGCTGCCCACCTTTTAAACTTCGACTTGAGAGCTATTTAAACTGCCTTTAAAAATTAAAAAAGAGAATAAGAAAAACTGCATGTTCCACCCCACTCGCTCCCTACAGACTGGAGAACCTTCCTCATCAGGCAGCTAGCGCAGCCCACCCCCGTCTCAGCTGATGAGAGCCCTGCCTCTGTCACCCCAGAGAACAGCCCGACAGCTTCTAAAACCACCACCATGATTTTTGGCAGCTTTCTCAAAACATACTCAGTTCCTACTGGAAAGTTTCACACAGAAGGCAAAGCTGGATAGTTACAGAGCAAAATAACTCACAAACATTCATCCTGTTCAATGCACAGGCAAGCTGAGCTGCCCCAAACCAGCTGTTTTTGGAGGACTGTTCCTGAAGTTTTCTGTGGCTCTGGGGCAACTAGGAAGACCTGTTGTGAAATCTGCCAGGCCCAACCAGCCTGGCCACGATATAGAATTTGTGGCTGTCCCTTGCGAAAAATCCTTGAGTTGCCTGCAGGCCACCCCTGAGTGGAGGGAGGATGGCCACCTGCCGGCCAAGAAGCGGGGGCTCCTGACTTCCACTCGACTCTCAGCATCCGTCAGCTTGAGTAGCTTCCAGGAGAACCCTCTGCCTTCCAGCGCTTGCCGGAAAAGACACCTCAGAAGAGTTTACTCTGAAACTTTCATCAAAAGCCCAGGCAGAGAGGTGACGCTTATGGAGCACTGGCTGGAGGGTGTCCTCTCTAGGTCAGGGAAGGAACATGCCTAGCAAAAGTGATGTCCCTCTTCAGTTTGATGCCTGTGGCAGACATTGCTAGTTGATCACAGAACTCCATGCTGCTAAGCCTGGAGAAGGCTCCAGACCCACTGATCCGAGTAGCTCATGAAATGAAACCGGTTTTCCAACCCTGCTCTGTGGATCCTCTGGTTCTAGGACTGAATGAAGCTTGGTGAGTCATCAGACGACTGCACACTCCAGCTCCTTGCGGAACTGCTTTTCCTGAGCTGAGAGATGAGGTCGTGCTTTTGGCTGTTATCACGTTCCCTGAAGCAGCCCCAAGAATCCCTTACTAAACTAGAATGGGGCTCCACGCTAAGGACTTCTTCAAGAGCTAAGGGTTAGGACAAAGCTTTGATTTCCCTCAAAATCTGGGAAGGCCTCCCTGTCCTCTTAATAAGAGCCATGTCGCTGATCACCCTCGTTTCTTCGCTTTGGCTGCCGGGAAAGCTGGAGGTATCTTTCTTCAGCAACAACCACCTTACCCCTGTCCATCATCTGCCCCCCATCCCGCTCCACATCTCCACCTTCTTGTGCCTGATCCTGGCTTGTCAGTGGATTTGGCCAGCTCACCATGTGCTTTTCTCGTGAGTTGCCTCAAAACTTCCGGGGACTGAGGTGAGGGTAAAAGTAGTTTAAAAACAAGACAACGCGTGGACAGTGGAGGGTATGGCGCTGTGATGGTCCTGGCCTGGGCCCCACCTGGCCTCTCTCTTCCTGCTGGGGGAACCTGGGAAACGTGTCCACTGCCCTGGTGGATTCACTGGGGACCCAGTCCAGTTGGAAGCTGGGCTCTGACCATCCAGAGTGGGTTTCCCAGGCTGTCAGAGTGAGCAGCCAGGCACGGGAGTCTCCTGTCCATCTCAGGCCAGAGCAGCAGAGATGAGAGCTGTCCTAGGCATGACAGAGTTTTGTCCCTCAGAGACCTCTACCCCTCCCCTCCCTCCAGGGCCAAGGACTGGTGGGCTCAGCTCCTGGAGAAGGAACTGCAGAATCCACGATGCCAGAACCACTGCGGAGGGGTCCCTGAGGTGGGTGTGGCTGCAGCTTTGAGCCCTGAGAATTGCAGCCCCAACTGTCCCCAGGTCCCTCTTGTGGGGGCTTGCCTCGAGACAGTTCCAAGCCAGCAGTAAGCCCCTTCTCCTTCTCCCCACCCCCACCACTCACCTCCAGCACATGCTTCTTGCTGGATTTGTCCTTGGGAGCCCAGGCGAGAGAGGCCCCCTTCAGCTCCACCGTGTACTCGGGGGTGGAGAGCTTGTAAGGCTGTCTCTGTGGGAGAGGGAGGAAGGGTTGGGGGAGCCGTCAGCTCAGACAGGCCTGCCATGGTGCCCTGGCTCTGATCCACCAGGCGCCCTCAGCTCCAGGGACAGGTTGGGGTCACAGCTCTGGGGCAGGGGGCCCAGGGGCTCCTGGAACCCAGAAATCCCCATACTTTTTAATCACAGAGCCTGAGGGCTGACTGGTCCTTTGCTGCCTGCCCACCCAGGAGAGGAAAGGAGAAAGGAGTGCAGCCCCCTCTCCTGAGAGCAGAGATGCCCAGCCCCCAGCCTCCCTGCCCACCAGGCTGGAGCTATCCACCCTCAAGGACCGCTCCCCAGGCCCAGGGTGGCTGAAAGTGCTTGTCCCGGAGTGAATCTGCTGTCGCCACCCCCTGCCAAAGCCCAGCTCTCTTGACGCGGATGTTCCACTGTCTCAGACCCAGCGTCTGACAAGCCAGATCAGGTCAAGACCCTCAGAAGTCAGGAGCAGATGGGGTGGTCCCTGCCCTGGGGGCCTGGGCCTCACCAGGCCGCCTGCAGCCGAGGCCTTTGAGTCCTTGAAGAACGTCAGGACGCCGCCCTCCAGCACTGTCCAGGAGGCACTCCAGTGCTTCTTCCTAGGTGGGGGTGGGAGTGGGGGTGGGGAGGTGGGAGGTGGCAGGGCTTGGCTTTGGCCCTGGGCTGAGGCCCCTCTCCCACCCTCAGGAGCAGGACACAGAGCTTAAGAACACAGCTCGGGGCACCCACCTGTGAGGGGTGTACTCCCATCTCTAATACCTGGTAGCCAAGGGACCTTGGGCAAGTCACTTTATCTCTGTGCCTCAGTGTCCTTACAGGACCTCTTAGAAAGTCACCTTGAGGACTGACAAGAGCCTAGCATCCAGGAGCACACTGTGAACACCCTCAGTAAGGCCCAGCTCCCTGGTCTGGGTGCAGACGGGCACTCACCGGAGCCGCTTCCCCTTGTCCACCGTCTTGGTGCGATGGAGCACACCTGCCTTGTCCAAGGTCTTGATCTGAGAGAGAGAAGGGGAAAGAGGAAGCAGTTTAGGGGCTGAGCCACGGCGGGCAGAGGTTAGTCTCCCCCTCAGCCAGCAGCTCCCCACAGGCTGGGCCTGAGTCTCCACTGAACCAGCAGCAGCCAGAGAGATTTCTCCCCAGTTTCCAACCTCAGCTCACTCTGGGCCTGGGATGACCCAGACCCAGGTTCCTTCAGCCCAGGCAGGTGCTGGGGCTATGGGGAGATGAGCCTGACCCAGTCGCAGCCCCCAGGACCTCCAGAAATCCCCTATTGCTTCTGTGGGGGTCCTGCCAGGGCCTACAGGCCTCTTCCCTTACCCTCTCCTCAGGGGGGCTGGCCTGGGCTGGGGTCTCACTGTCCTGGCTGGATTTGCGGATGGTTCGAGGGGCAGGGACAGGGACCTGGGGAGAAAGACACTGTCGTATATAACCCCCTCCTCCCTCCCTGGCACTCCCCCTTCCCCTGCTGGCTACCTGGGGCAGCTCCCACTGAACGGAGGCATCCTCTGGGTTGTAGAAGTAGGGCTTCCCATGTTGGTCCTCCAGCCTCACCCACTGTGGAGAGAGGGATGGTCAGGGCTCCAGCCCGCCTCGTGAGAGGGGAGGAAAACGTCTCCCTACAGCAGAGCCCAACACAGCCCCGAGGGTTTGGAAGGCTGGCTTGGAGCCTGTGCAGGAGCTGCAGCTGAGGAGCTACTAGTGAGAAAGGGTTGGAGGAGCGACCCCGGAGCTGTCTGGGCCCATCTGCCCGCTGCCCCTACCTTCTCTTGGGTGAAGTGGTTCGTGTAGAGCGTCTGCCCATCCGAGTCCACGTGGCAGGACCAGCCGGGGGGCGTGGCCAAGGGAGAGGTGGGCCCGGGCTCGCTGAAGGAGCCCACGGGGGAATAGTCCTCCTCGGGGTAACTGGTCAGCAACTCAGGGTAGTCAGTCTCGGGGGTGGGGGGCTGTAGAGAGCAGAGGCCTGAGTCAGAGGGTCTCGGAGCCAGTATAGACCCCCGGCCCCGCCCTTTCGGACCAGGCCAAGCCCCCTCACCGGCCGTCCCGGGGCGGTGGGCAGCAGGAGGCGGGGTCAGAGCCTCCGAACCAGCCCCGCCCACCCGCGCAGGCCCCGCCCTCACCCTCTGGTCCCCCGGGCTGCCGGGGCTCAGGCCGGGCTGCATGTCCTGCTCGTCCTCCGGCTCGTCCTCGGCCTCGTCCTCCCAGGCCGTCTCGCCCGTCAGCGGGTTGTAGAAGAACACTCTGCGGCTCTCCTCATCCCAGTACTGGCCCCACTCGGTCTCGACGCTCTCGCCGCTGCCCACCGAGGCCGGGGAGGTGGCCGGGCTGGCGGCGCCCTCGGCAGCCTCGAAGGGCGACTCCCAGGTGGTGACGCCCGTGTCCGGGTTGTAGTAGTAGGGGCGCCCGGTGTCCGCGTCCGTGTGCGTCTCCCACACCGGGCCGGGGCGGGGGGCCGCGGCGGGGCCCGGCGAGGTGACTGAAGGCTGCCTCTCTACGTTCGCGTACACGGGCTCCGGGGGCTCGTCCACCTGCGCGAGGAGGACGGGGAGGTGACCTTCAGCGCAGCTCCGGGGTCACAGTCCCCACTCGGCCACTTGCCGCCCGAACGACCTTCAGCAAGTCACAGCACCCCTCTGCCTCAGTTCCCCCGGCTGCAAAATGTCTGCCCTGCCCATTCCGGAAATTGTAGTGAAGAGAGAATGAGGAAATGTTCTTGAAAGTGCTTTTGTAAAGTATGGAGTGCCCCAGATGCGTGGGACAATTACATTAATAATTTATTAACAACAATAAAATTTCGATAACGGAGTTCTCCCAGCTGTGCACTCATAGGGGCCAATCAAAGGTTGGGCAGAAACAGAGAAATAGCCTAGGGACCCATCCCTCCTCTGGCCCCATTCAGGTCCCATGGGGGCAGGGCCCTGCTGCATTCTACAGCCCCCACCAAGAGCCCCCACCCCTCCTTCCTTCCTGACCGGGAAAGCTCTGGACTGGATTCCGTGCTGCCTCTGGATTTGGGGCTGGAACTTCCTCCGTGTGCGGTTTGCAGGCCTCAGACAAGAGGATAAGAGAGGAGAGCCAGAAGGGAGGGAGAAAGGAGGGGCGGGGAGAGGTGAGCCCCCTTCCCAGCCAAAGGAAAGTGGGGCAGGCTGGAGGTTCAGCCACATGGAATGGTGGTGCTTAACACCCTCACAGCCCTCTGCTGCCCGTGGGGCAAAGTCTAAGCCCTTAACAGGGCCTGAGACAGCCCATCACCTGCTGTCTTCCACCTTATTTCCGGCCACGCCTTCCCCCTTGCTTTGAACTTTAAGTCCCAGTAGCAGCGAGTTGCTGCAGGCCCCCACCCTCTCTGCTGTGTGTCCACCAGGCCTCAGCTCATTTGCCGGCTTCCCAGGCCCAAACCCACCCCTTTCGCACCTGGCTGACTCCTATTCCTACTTCAGGACTCAGCTTAGGCGTCAGGTGCAAGACCTTTCGCGAGATTTCTCCTGTGCGCCCACCACACCCAGCCCAGCACCCTCAGCCCGGCAGATAACTATACTGTCCAACCCAAGGCAGCAGAATAGCACACGGAGATTATCGCTGTTTTCTGAGAATGTGTGATGGTACAAGGGAAAAGCAGATTTCAAAATGGCAAACTTAGCATAATTTCAATTTTGCGTTTTTAGAAACCCTCCAAAATGCTAACAGAGGTCCTCTCTGGGCAGTATAATCAAAGAGACTGGATTTGTTTCAGTTTACTTTTTTCTTTAAACTTTTCTGCAGCCTCTAAATTTTGTACAATAAACCTTTTTTTCTAAATCACACAAGTTCCTCTATTGCTGTGACATCTTCACTAAGCTGTAAACTCCTCAAGAGGGGAAGCAAGGCCTGCTCAAGGTGGCCTCTCCTAGGCCTTAGGCAGGCACCTGAGAAAACATTCGTGTGTCCAACAAAGACTCGTCTGCTCTGGGCCAGGCACCGTTCTAGGCTCTGGGAATGCAGCAGTGAACAAATGGACACGATCCCCGCCCTGGCGTGGTGGCACACCAGTGCGCAGGAGTGTAAAAGGTGGGAGGAGTAGGGAGACAAGCAGGGCGGGGAGTGAAATGCACAGCATGTCAATGATGATCGCTGCTAACAAGAAAACAAACACAGCCAGAGACGGGGGTGTTGCAGGCTTAGACAAGGTGGCAGGGCCCGGGCACATAGCGGGCAGGAAGAGCTGGGTGCACAAGTCCACCAGTTTCTCACCCCACAAGCTCCTGTGTGGCCGAGATAGGACCCTCCACCCCACTTCTCCTTTCTCTCTGTCCTTTACAGCCCTCCTGCGCCATCCTGTATTCCAACCACTTCAGGCCGCTGACCCTTCCCCAAACACAAAAGGCATCTTCCTACCTCCGTGCCTTTGCTCCAGCCGTTCCCTCGGCCCAGAACTCCCTGCTCTCATTCCCTGCCTGCCTGAATCCTGTTCCTCCACTTGAGCTGGGCTCACAAGCCTCACCTGGGAGAGGCCTTCTACCTCCAGAGAGAAGTCTGACCCACTGGCAGTCTACTCGTCACTGTCAGGGCCCGATGGCATTCTGGTTAGTTCCTTGTCCACCCGTCTGCCTACCTTCTCGGCCCCGAAAGGCAGGAGTTTCTTGAGAGCAGGACCCAGGATGAGGTAACTGACCCCACTTCCCCCCAGGAGGTGGTCCAATGCCCTGATGCACACAGCTGATCCACCAAAAACATCTACTGCTTGAGTACCCAAGTCAATCCATGCCAAACTTCAGCCACAAACAAAAAGCAAACACAGCTGACACTACAGGAGAGACTGGAGGTAGCTTTGAGCAAGAACTTCCTGAGAATAAGGGTTCAAGCACAGGGACCAGGAGACTCCTTGGGAGGACAGGACGGAGCAGAGGGGAGAGGAAGGTGATGACCAGACGCACCTCCTCCCCACCCTAGCTGGACCCACTGAGGCAGAGGCCTTGTCCATCACTGGGACATGGGTTGGAAGGGCCCACAGATGTGGACAAGCCAAGGAAGGAGCCAGGCTCTTTGGAGTGAGGATTTCCACCTTATTTATGCAAAACTACCCTCCTCATAGTTCTTAGACTAACTCTGGGAGTGAACTTTTTGGCTCTTGGGAGAGCTACATCCTTCACGCTCTCCTTTGGGGCACCTTTTGCATCCACGGTTGGTTAAGCCATAAAAAGGCTACCCGGCTGCTGGCCTTGGCTCTGAGTCCACAGGGCGTCCCAGGCTGGTGGGGCTGATGGGGATCTCACACAAGGAACATGCCCAGCAGGGACAGAGGAGATTTGGAAGGTAGTTTAGGCGCCCCATGTGACAGGGCTGTCACGAGGAAGAGGAGATGCAGAATCACACTGTGGGCTCCAGACTGTGGATCAGAGCTGAATGGGGGCAGGGCAGTGCCCCTTTGAAGGGAGCACATTCGAAGGATGGGGGCTGCCCCAGAGACATGGGCTGCCTCAGGAGATAGTGAGGGGCCTTCACTGGAGGTGAGCAAGCCAAGTCCAGCTCCCTGGGAGGGATGCTGCAGCCCTGTGGAGGGGTCTAGAACTCTCTGTCAAGCCCCCACAGTGCTAAGATAGAGGCACTTTCCTCTCCTGGCAGAGCCTCAGTCAGGCTCAGATCAGTTCCTGAGGCCAGGTGGGGCCAGTCCCTCCAAGCCCTTGGCCTCCAAGGGGGAGCTCGCCCAGGTTGAGCAGAGCCTGCCACCCTGGCCCCCAAATCCTGGAGGCCTGGGCAAGGCACAGATGTGGGACATCAACAGGGACCTGAGTAGGGTACCAAGTGCTCTCAGGACCCAGATCCCAGTCATGACAGAGACACAGGGTACATGGAGAGGAAAAGAGGAAGTGGTCTCCTTCCCTCAGGCCAGAGGACAGAGCCAAGAGGGCCCCGGCTCTCACCACACCCAGCTGCCGGGCGCTCCTCTTGTCGCCAAGTCCCTCCCCTTGCCCACAAGCAGGTGGCAGGCCTGCCTCTCTTTCCCCCGGCTGATCACCGCCTCTTAGCATCCCTTTGCAGGCCCTCTCACACGGGCAGGGCCTCAGAGAAGGGAAGAGGAAAGAAGGGAGGAGCCCCCGGCTGTGAGACCCCCTGCTCTGACTCTCAGCTCACCTAGCTCCTACCGAGGCCAGAGGAGGGAGGCCACTGGTGGCCCCGTGATGCCACAGGTCCCTCTGCCACCCCACGAGAGGCTGAACTCCCTCCTCCCAATGCCAGGGTCCCCTACCTGTACCCGCAGGGCCCGACTCTGCCTCCTGGTCAGCTTGGCAATCATGTCTACCATCCTGTCCCCTCAGGGCTGCTCGGACAGAGCCCTGGGAAAGTTTTGGGGGTGGAGCCAAGGGGCACAACCCCAGGGCTGGCACAGGGCAACGGGGAAACAAGAAGTTGCCTCGAGATGGCGGGAGGCTGAGCCTCCAGCCCATTTCCTGTCAGGGCTGCGGAAGTGCTGCCTGAGACAGAGTGGGGTGGGGTGGGGTGGGGTGGGGGGTGCCTCAGGTCAGGCGTTTTTTTATGTGTCCAGGCACACCACTGGCCACCCTACTCAGTGCTCTGATTATTGAAGAGTTCTGAATCCCAGGTCCAGACACAGCCACGGAGCAGACTCCACAGAGGATGGCGCAGGGCCGTGGGTGGGGGAGGGGTAGGCTGCACAGACAGAGGGCAGGCAGAGGGGGCAGCTGGGTGTTGGGGCCTGAGCTGGCATAGACAGGACCATGAGTGGCCATCAGCTCCCCCAAGGCCCAGGGACAATGTGATGGGAAAGAGGAAGCTTGTATGTGGGGGGTGCCTGAAAGAGGAAGGGGGCTGGGCAGATGTGGTATCAGAGGGAGCCAGTGTCTGGATCCCTCTGGCCACGTGGAGGACAGGAGGGATTCTGACCACACCACCATCTACCCGCCTGACCACCTGAGTCTGCCTCCTCCAGCCCCAGTCACCAAGACGCGTGCGCCTACCCCGCCTGTGAGTCCACATACATACACAAGGATGCCCGTGCCCCTCTCCTCCCCTCCAAGGACCCAGAGAAGGGGGACAGGAACTAGCTCCCCCAACTGTACCCTAAGTGCTTCCTCCTGGCCTCTCCTCTCTTCAGCCCCTCACCAGGTGGGTCTTCAGACCCTGGCCATGCACAACAGACACCACGTGTCCTGGGTAAGACACTGCAGCCCCTCCTCCAAGGCCTGGGGGAATACTTTGTCTCACTAACCCCCTCAAAGGTGCTTCCTCCCAGCCCCCAGGTGCGAGGCAGCACCCGGCCCACCCACCCACCCGCCTGAAGGCTCTCCCACAATGGCTGCTTGGCTCCCAGTTGAGGCTCTGACCCCACCTTTCCACCCTAGATCCAGCCCCTCATCTCCCATTCTTCCATATCAGTAATCTCTCTGCTCTAGCCCTGGCTCTGCTTTCTCCCCTGGCCATGTCCCCTGACCTCTCCTCCCCTGTACCCACTGTGGGCATAGGACACAGACACCCACGTAGTGCCAGGCATGGTGTGGATTTGGGGTGTGGGACACTTGGGGAGACCACATCCAGAGCAAGTCCAGGCCCTATGCCCCACTCTGCCCTCAAAAGCTCTACCATCACTCCCCTACCATCCCCTGGGCCCTGACTCAGAAGCCCAGAACCCCAGGGACAGACTAATCCCCCAGAGAGGCCTGGAGTCCTCACACTTGTCACACACATGATATATGACACTGCCCCCACCCTGAGGGCCAGGGACCACACACACACACAAGTCCCTAAGAGAGATGGAGCCAGGCCCAGGAGATGGCAACAGCCTCTATAAATTCCAGAGCAGCAGGAAACTCTGAGCCACCAGGGAGGAACTGGGTTGGGGAAGGGAGAGGGGAGAAGTGTGGGAACCCAGGCCCAGCACTGCCCTCTAGGTGGAATCGAGGGGCAGGTCTCCCTGTGGCAGGGACCAGGAGTGACAGTGTGGGGGTCTGGGAGCACAAAAAAGGCAGCCAGCACCCTACTTGCTGCTCTTCCCCAGTAAGAGCCTGGCCCCAAGCCTGGGGTCCCCCAGCGGGCTCTGGCCCCACACTTTAGGGACCGACAAACCTCACACAGCAATGGCCTGCTCGTGGTCACAGAGGTGGGCTCCTCAGGCCTCCTGTCTGGGCCTCCCCTCCCCCGGCGAGAGGAGGTGGTGACCACAGCAGCTCCCCAGTGGGGTCCTCCTCCCTCAACCACACCCTCACTCCTCAAGAGGCACATGAGAGGGAGGTGACAGAAGCAGCCAGCTGCACATCACCCATCTCTCCAAAACCCTGGGAGGGGTATCGGGGCAGGAGCAGGTGCGACAGGAACCTCCTATCCGCCCTCTGGGGCCAGAGGCAAAGAAATGCCTGCACACCAGCTGCTAGAGCCCAGGGGCCAGCTCAGGGGGCTGGGGAGGGGACAGGACCGCCGGGCTGACTCTGAGCCTGCTCCATGCCACCTGGGTAGGGCGGAGGGAGAGTGGGAGTGAACTGTGATCTTTGCCTCCAGGGCTCAGCCGTGTGTACAGAACCTCTGCTGCCTCCGCTGTCCTGGCATCCGTCCCTCCCCTGAGCACGCCTTCTCCCGGACAGAGTCCGGGCCTCACTCACTCCATATCCACCCCTAGCCCCGAGTGCTATGCCCACCTACGCGCAGCGGGGAAGCTGGGGTCACCCTGCAGAGTCGGATGAGACTGGTTTGGGCTGGGGCCTGGCTGAGGCATGCTGTGCTAAGGCCAAGGGGGCTCAGTGCAATTTTATCCCATGCAAGGAGCGAGAGATGCCAGACCCAACGGCCTAAAGTGAGGCCCTTCTCGGGTTTGGGGCAGAAGCTTCACTGGATTCAAAGGAAAAAGCCTGAAGCAGGAGTCCAGAGACCTGGTTTATTGTGCAGACTTCTCTCTGAGCGACCCCTTGAATCTCTGGGCCTCAGTTTCTTTATCCATAGAATGGGCTGTCCATTCTCTCCTCCTAAACTGGTTCCTGTGAAACCAGTTGGTTTCTGAGAAAAAGCTGAGCAGACACCTGAGTTCCCACAGCCACCAGGACCTGGGGAAGAGAGCCGGGCCACACTTCTGCTTTTCTGGCTCTGAGTTTCACTTGAGTGCCCCTGGCTCCGGACTCTGCCCCCAGCCTCCTGGTGACCTCATGCAGCTGCCTGCTTGGCCTGCTCCTCCAGGGTGCAGGGTGGGGTGGAGCCGGGGGTGGAGCCCCTTCACCACTCACGTCCCCTGTGCTGTGAGTAAGACTGGCAGACACCCAGGAGTCTGCTGCTGGGCCAGGAGAAAGGGGATGGTCTGTCAAGGGACCTGCCGGCCAGCAAAGGCCGTGGTTACGAGCCAACCTGGGGAGGTGGGAAAATGTGACAGGGTCATTACCTTCTGCCCACCCTCTCAAACGTATCCGCACCTGCACCCACCACTCCCTCCCCCAGTGGAGGGCCCAGGGTCCCTAGTCCAAGCCAACCTCCCCATCCTGGGCCCGGGGGACCCTCTTACCTCTCACTTGCTTACCTCAAATCTCCAAGTGTCAGCCCCCTGGCCCCCAACCCCACGCAACCGCCTCTGTCCCTCTGGCTTTTCAACAAGCTCAAGGTCTCTTCATCTCAAAAGTAAGTGTGTGCGCCCCTGGACCCAGCTCCCCCTTTCTTGTTTTCAGATCCAACTGCTTGAGGCATCTGTGTACCCACCATCTCGCTGTCCACTCAGTCGGACACCCAGCCCAGCTCAGGTCTCCCACAACTTCCCTGGTGACAGATTCGGTCTTTGTCTGGCCTGACTCCTCTCCTGTGCTTAGTCCTTACAATCCTCTCCGTCCTGGGCGGCCTCTGCCCGGAGCCTCTTGGTCTGCCTCCTCTTCCTCTGGCTGCTCCCTCTCAGCTCTTTGGGCCCACACTCCTCTTCCTCTGCTCAACTCCTCCATGCTTGAGGTCTCATCTTTGCTCCTCACTCTACGGTCCTGGGGAAGCTCAACCGGCTTTATTAGGTTGACACCTCACAACTCCAACTCCAGGAGCATGAATCCAGCTGCCCACCTGGACGTCCTCGGGACACCTCAACAGCTGCGTGTCTCACACCCAGTTCATCTCCATTCTCCTCCTTCCCCCCATCTCAGTGTCACCTCTGTTACTCAAGCAGAGACATGGAGTCATCCCTGATTCCGGCTTCCCCTGCATCACCGTCACGAAGCCCAGGTGACCAGACCCACCCAAGCCTTTCAGACCTATCAGTCCCCCAGGGACACAGGGGTCAGAGGAACACGGGGACACCACCGCAGGAGAGCAAACCTGCACATCTGAAATAGACGTTCCTTGGGGCAACTGGCCTGGTCAGGGCAGAAGGAAAGGGAGGGGCTTGTCAAGAGAGATTTAAGAGACAATTAGCCGCAATGCACGGCCTTGACTGGATCCTTCCTGTTCAAAAAACTGGCTCTGAGAGGCTTGTTTTAGGACAGTGGGGAAATTTGACGAGGCCCGGGTCTTAGATGATGTTAAGGAATCAATGTTAATTTTGTTAGATATAACAACGGTATCATGGTTATGGAGAAAAACATCATTTTTAAGAGATTCATGCTGAAGTTTTTAGGGGTAAAATATGATGAAGTCTAGAATTTATTTTTTTTGGCAAAAAAAAAAAAGAAGATAGAACAAACATGACAAATAGTAATTGTTAAATCTAGGTAGTAGGTATAATCATATTCATTTTAATATTCTCTTTCCTTTTTTGTATGTTTGAAAAATTTCATAACAAAAAAATAAGAAAAATATCTCCCACACGCTCTTTCCTTGTTCCGCATCCTCAGTGTCGCTCCTCTACAAGGCATTCATTATTTCTTACCTGGACACAGATGGGCCCTTCCAGCTCTTCCCTACTCCCAATGCATCTGAGACAAAGTAATTTCTCTCTCTTGAAGATGCAGCTCTAAGGCCAGGGATTCTGGAAACACAGCAGCTTAAACCCACCCAGCTTCTCCTCTTCTCCCAATTGCTACCTTCTACTGCCCAAGCCAAGCCAGGGGGTGGGGGGTGGGGGTGTGGGGAGGAGCAGGACTGGCTGGCACAGGTGAGGGTGCCTGAGACAGAGGCTAGAACTTCGGAAACCCAGGGGGCAGACTGGGCCTGTCACAGGACCCTACGGGGAAGGTAGGGTGACCCGCACATGAAATCCTTTTCCCTTGGGAGCTCATGGGAGCTGAGCAAGTGGGCTAAGCCCTCTCTGATGT